AAACATTGCTGGACTGAATTTACATGGTCTCTTGGAGTTCCTTGGGCTAGGCCTGACAATTTCATTTTGAATGGTAACATAAATTGAAAGTTAATAGACATCTGATTGTTATACTGTTTCCTCTTACGCTGTGACAAACTGATGTCTACTTAAACCATTCCACTCTGTCCATTATTGCCATTCACCGTTTTTCTCTTTCTACTCTTATAGGTACCGAATAATGACCCAGTGCTGGCAACACCAGCCAGAAGACAGGCCACACTTTGCCATTGTGCTGGAGAGGATTGAATACTGCACCCAGGTAACAATTTCTCTCAGGCTCCCTCACTGTGTGTGATGTGATGCAGGGAAAGACAAAAGGGAAATGTGCCAAGCCTACCAAGTAGAGTATACTGATAACGTCTTTTTCTCAAGTTTCAGTGCTCGCAGCCCTCACTTAGCAAGGCAAGTGGGGAATGCAAATAGTTGTTGAAGGAATGGCTCCAACCACCTCATAACCACCTAAAATATAGGCCATCCATATCTAAAATGGGTGGTTAGCTTTGGTAGATACTTATTTCTGATGCTGATCCTGGCCTTTTTGTCCTTCTTGAGTAGAACATATTTGCCTGGGTCTGTAGGTCTTTGGAGCACCTGGAGATATTTGTATCTCACAAAACTAGGTGGTGGTTGTTTGGCTGCTAGTACAGGCACAACATGCTACCACCACACTAGAAAAAGCTACATTCTGAGAATATACTCCAGGATTAGGTGCACCCATCCCACATTATTTTCTCTTACATGTTTAATGCACCCAAAGTGGCTAATGGCTTTAAAAACAGAACCCAACACAATCAAAGTGGTTCTGTTCCCAGCACATGTTTCAAAGACAGCCTTATCATCTTCCAGATGGAGTGGGTAGTCCTCACGGCACTGCAGATCAGAAGTACAAGGAACATTCTGTCTCTTAAACACTTCTTCCACACATCTGAAAAAAAGTTTGTTTTCTTTTCTTTTGTTTTAATCAGATCCTATCATTTCAATATTCCATTAAATACAAAATGCTGTTTAGTAATGGGGTCGATCAACAGTAGGGTTGTGCACACTTCAAAAATTATTTGGAAGAAGTGCTTTGGATCATGCATGAACCCAGCCCTTCTCTGCTATTCTTAGAGCAACCTATCTAGCTTCTTGGGCCTAAGAAAAAGGCGCTGCTGCTTTAAGGAATCCACTCATTAAACTTAGTGAGACCTCCACATGGAAGATGGCATCCATACATTTTGTATTCATATGAAAGAATAGTTCTTTTATGAGTCTGATTTTCTGCCTAGCAGTTTTATTGTATAATCATGAATTCTAATATTATCAGGAAGATGAGGGGGAGAATATACCTGTCTATGAATGAAAAATATATTATTCCACTAGTGTTTTTGAATATCATAAATAAAAGTTAAATATATGTTGAACTACTGTCTCTCATTCTCTATAGGACCCTGATGTCATCAATACGGTTCTGCCTGTGGAGTATGGCCCATGCATTGAAGAAGAAGAAAAGGTTCCTGTGCGTCCTGAAGACCCTGAAGCAATCCCTCCTCTGTTAGTGTTGCCACAGCGAGATAAAAAGGGCGGTGAACAGCTCCTGCCTTCCCCCTCCTCTCTCCCCTTTGCCATTCCAGCAGGAAAAGCTCTCATGAAAGCAGCTGCTGTTGAGCCAATTACCCAGGCTAACATCCAGGCTTCTCTAGAAGGGGGACATGTCAACATGGCGTACACTCAATCAATTCCTGCAACAGAGCTCCACAAAACCCGGGGGTCCAGAAATAAGCCTACCAATCTCTGGAACCCAACATATGGCTCTTGGTTTTCAGAGAAGCCAGTTGTCCAAAAGACTTCTCAGCTGGAGAAAGAGGCAACAGAGCAGGAAGATTCAAGGCATGAAGGCAGCTGTACTTTGGGGCCCAGCATAATGGCTGGAAGGCTGCCAAGCTCTTCCCTTCTTCTAGAACCATCTTCACTGACAGCCAGTGTTAAGGAAGTGCCTCTCTTCAGGCTCCGCCATTTTCCCTGTGGCAATGTTAACTATGGATACCAACAGCAAGGCCTGCCCTTGGAAACCTCAGCCCCACCTCTGTGCCAGCAGTTACGAGGACCCTCACCTTAGGAACCAGTTCAACCAGCCTCTAGTCTTCTTGACTTTCTTCCCATGTGACTCGTGAGCCTTGGCACAAACTTCAGTGTCAACCGTATAGCAAGCACGAGAACAGAACAAAATTCCCTTCTGTTATGTGCCAATCTGCTCTGAAGTGCCATCACCCTTGAAGCTTATTTTTTTTAATCTCTTAAGAAGCTTCAATTTGTCAGAGCTCCTTTCTATACACACCCACACAATCACGCCTATAAACACACATAACTCTGAGACAATAGTCACTATTACAAGCAAGGCCCTGCTCTCAGTTGCATAATATCACTTGCATGGTTGTTTGCTATGCCCTTACCTGCGCACTGCTTCCTCTTAGTTGTTTCTGTGCCATTTCAAGACTCGCTGGCCAAGTGTGTCATGTTTAGGGATTTTCTGTACTGTTTTGGACGTCCTCATGATGTCAGAGAAGGTAGGGAAATGTACTCATGCCAAAGGCAAAGTCAGATAACATGGACTCTGAAAGAGCTCATACTCAAATAGCACAACTACTACCACATGCATGCAAAACTATGGAGACTAGCACCAGAATAGCTAAATGTGTCAGTATCACTCATTTTGTTCCTGAGGTAGAAATTGCAGAAAGTCAAAGAATGTGACCTAATGCAGTGTTGTCCAAACTTGGCCACTTTAAGATGAGTGGACTTCAACTCCCAGAATTCCCC